ACTCTCTCCCCCTTTTTTTCTTGTTGTTTGGGCATTTTTTTTTTTGGTGGGGGTTTTTTGCTTGTTTTTTTCCCTACTAGCAATAAAATCCAATTTGTAGTCCTGGCAGTATATCCTCTGTCTGTACAGTGCACTGAGATGTCCCCTTGGGTATTTCACATAGCTTAAGCAACCCAAAGGGATGTAAAATGCTACATTATAATTTGCTGTGTGGATCAGAAAAGTATCTGTGCTCTTGCAGTATTGGCACTTTCTCCATGTCCTAGACAAGGTCAGAAGCTCATTACAGCAATCAAATTCAAGCAAATAATCAATTTTGTCTACATCAGCTGCATTTTCCCTTAACTCTTCATTTAGCCCTCCCTCCTCTCAAGCAAAAAAATGTCCTAAGCAATTATTTCATGTTAATGTTATTATCCCCTCCGTCTTACTCGTGCCCTTTCTAACCACATATTAAAAACACAAAATAGTTTGCAAGCAACCTCTATCAACTTCTGAAAATGATCTGCAGTGACATTGGCTGAGATGTTATTTTTCAACAGAGATTAATTAGACTGGATGTGCACAGCCATTCAGATACACAAATATTCCCCTGATTTTACAGAAAAAAAGCATGACTAAATTATATTTCCAACAGTGCTGTATTTTGGATGACTAAGGGAACTGTAAGTTTATGTATTTGCTTAATTATAAAGGTGTGTCACAATACTGCGCACTTTATACAGAAAAGGAAACTACAATTGAGAGTGTGAAAGAGAGAAAGAAGGGAAAGAAAAAAGAAAGAGAAATGAGAGAAAGAGTGAAAGAAAAGAAAGGTGGAAAGAAAGGAAGAGAGAAAAAGAAAAAAAGGAAGAAAAGAGGGAGGAAAGCAAGAAAAAAGGAAGAAAGAAAGAGAAAGAAAGGAGAGAGACTCGAGTGCTCACAGTGCTACCTGTCATCCCTGTTCTGTTGATCTATCTGTGCCTGCTCTGAAGAAACTGAACATTATAATGAAGAGCCTTTCTCTAAGAATAAAGACCATATAGAACACACATGAACACCACATTCCATATAAAAAACATTAGAGAGATGTTTAATTAACTGTTTGTCACATTAGTAATTTGCTTTCTTTTTTAATCTTAACTGTTCAAACCCACCGATTTAAAATAAGCCGTAACCATACCTTTCATGGAATAAGAAATCCTTTAGAAGTTTTTTCAGTCCATTTCTAAACAGCAGTGAAAGCAATGAAATGCATAGCTAGCTGGGATCCAGTTCTGCAAATCTCGATCTTTAAAAGAAATAAGAAAGCTAAGCACGACACAACCTTTCAACTGGGGCAGCATTTGCAACTCTCTTGGAGTAACTCCGCAACTTTTGCAAACTGAAAAACAGTTCCGTTCAGCATCATCCCAGCAGCTGGCTTCCACGTGACGTCAGTGCACGGAGGATGGTTTTAAAGCCATCTCTTCCAACCCCCAGCTCTGTAACTTTATATCTCCTCATATTTTGTGTAAACAACTCCAAGTCCAGGACATTTTTAGGTTTTATAGTGCAGTCCAGTCTTTAAAGCTTGCCAAAGCAGCCAGTGTTAATATTAAAGCTATGACAATAGGCAATTTTAGGTTTCTTTTATTAGCGTCCATGTTGTAAAGGAAGATTCCTTGCTGCCTTCCAGACCCAGTTTTCAGGGTTCTATTTTTCAGTATGATAATTTTGAGCTTTGCAACTTGATCCTCATAAACTGCTTTGTTAAAGGAGTTTGTTTAAAGCAGCAGTTTTGTTGGTTAACAGTTATCTTAAAGAGCTACAAGCAAACCACTCCTCCCTAAAATCTTTTTCTGTATTCCAAATATGCTATCACTTACGAAGCGCAGAATTATTGGGCACTGTGTAACCCTACTGTCTTGCATTCTGGGAATGGTGATAATGGTTTCTTTGGGATATACCCAAATATTCCTACCACTTTATAAGGTTTCTGGATCAGATTCTCCTGTCTGTTAAGATACTTTGTGTCTCAGCAAAGCAAAGCACTTGAAATTGGATGGAGAATCTCCCTTGCGCAGGGAAACTCATTCCTGGCATAAGGCTAGCAAGGAAGGTCCAAAGCCACCTCGGCCTGGATTTAAAGCACTGGGGGTGCCCACAGCAAGTGTCAGCATGGAGTGAGGGAAGGGAGTGTATGCAACAAAAATGATCTCGCAAGTGAAAGTCCAGAGGAGACCCTGAAGCCAGCGTTCCGATATTTAGCTGCTCCCCCTGCTGAGCCGCAGGCACGAGGAGCTCAGCTCGCTCCTTGCGTCTCTGCCCGCCACGGT